ACTTGTAACGCCCCAGTTATAAAGAGTAGGGCAGTCTTTTCATATTTTAGCCAGATTCATATTTTTTATCCTATTTTCCACTATCAACTGTTGGTCAATCAACATTATAACAGTCAATCTTTTGAAATACATAGTCAATTTAACTCAACTTGACAATGAAAATATGAGCAAAATATCACTTAAAGTATAACAGAAATATGTTCATACTCCAGCAGAACAAACAGGAGTATAATTTGAAAATATAATTTTCCCGTGCAGTAAAATTTTGTTCACCGTTTCTTTTTTTCCCCCATTAAAGGTAGAGTAATTCAAATTCAGACCAGAAGAATGTGTCTGGATTTGGTAGGAATCTGGACAAAAAGGTGTTCATGACTTTAAAGGCTTTATTGTTTATGTAAAGCCAGCAAATAGACATTTGAGCCGCGTCATGACAAAACCAACATAATGGCTTTGCGACCAGCGCAGTCTGATCAGGATCCATGCTGTTCTCTACTTGTTATACGGTTTGTAAGCGAACAGCATGGATCCTAATCAGACTGCGCAGGCTGGTCTGGATCCATGCTGGTTGCAAACCCATTATGTTGGTTTTGTCGTGACACAACTCATTTGATTCTGTGTTTCTCTAAACTTAGTCATCACCAATCTTTCACTTCACACTTTATAGACATGTGTTTGTATTAAAGCCTCATCGTTTCTTGAAAAATAATTCGTTTTAAGGGAACATAATGCCTCAGAAATCCATATGTATATAATACTTTAGAAATGTCACATGAGTTTGTTATACTGCTTAGTATAATCAAGTAAATACTTGCACAACATTTTTTCATCTTCACTTATGCTGTTTTTTATTTAAGTGAATTTTAAAGATTGCTAATACAGTGAAAATAATAATCACATGAAATAACCCCAGTTTATGGTAGCTTGCTCTGTAACTAAAAAAACAAGCAACAAAGAAAATCAATGTGAAAATTGTTGTTTTTTTTTGCTCATTATAAATTCAATGTATGATATAGTAGGTACATATTTTATCAAATGATGATGAATAATTCTTTGCAAGAAAGTAAAATCGAATGACCATAACCCATGGTCCTACAATACATTATTGTTTAGTATGTTAAAGGCACATTATGCCTCAGAAATGAATAAAATTTTACTTGTGTAGAAAGGGAAAAAACATGAATTTTCTATGTTCGAATGATAGTTTAGAAAATCTAAAGATAATAGTAACTTCGACTCCCAAACAAAAAACTAAATCACTTTTATTGAACATAAATTGCCAAAAATCAACAGAAGAAAAATCTGGTTCAAGTAATTGGCCAATGAGTAACTCTTTGGAAACTATAAAGAAACATACAAAAAAATGTGTAAAATAAATACATTTGCGGGGCATAATGGGCCTTTAACAGTAATTAATGCTTACAATACATAATACATACATGTATATACTTTTACATCAATGCACTACATAGTACACGGTTAATCATTAAATAATGATACACTATAACTGCATTTTCTTGAATAATATGTTTAAACTTAAATAAGTATACAGATTATTGTCTAACACGACTTCTTAACAACAAAATTTACACCAGGGATAAATTTTAACGTAAAGTATAATTACAAAATTGTGTACCACGTTTTGGGTTTGAACATAATTTGTACAACAAATGAAAGTAAAATTTGTTAAAAAAAAAGAAGAGAAAATAGAATGCAATAAATTCAAAATCAAAAAATTAAATGGTTCAGTAAGTAAACAAAATAGCACTCCTTTGTATTTATAAGCACTTTTCGATATTCTTAGTCTACATGCAGAAACAAATGCATGACATTATACTTCTTCTTTGTATTAAATGTCTTCTATACGTGCATAAAATTCAGTATTGTCCCTTACCCTCAAGGATGGTCCCAGATATCAAGGATAGTCCCGTAAATTCAGGACGGTCCCAGAAATCAAGGATTGTCCCAGAAATCAGGTTTCTAAAACAAAAGTGTCAAAATATAGATATTATTATATATCAAATATTGACATGATTCTGTATACTTATATAAAGAAATTTAAAGAAAGAAAGACTTCATTTTAAAATGAATTCTACATCGAAGAATTTCTTTCTATCCTATGTTCTGTAGATCAACATAAAAGTTAATTCTGAATAAAAGAGAAAAAAGACTGCAAATGATTGAGATTCTAGAATACATTGTAGTATTCCTATGCTTGTAAGTCATTCACTGAATTGTCACACATTAAACACATACGTTGTTTCATTTGGATTTATAACAAAAAAATTATTTGCGAAATTAAAAAAAAATATCTAGCAATTTGCCCACTAAATTCTCAACGTTTTGCTTTAAAGTAGATGATTAAAAATCCTTTGTGAGATAAGCTTAGTAATGAATCATTTCATTAAAATATAGAATGATTCCCTGTGAATAATTTTTCATCTATTTTGTTAAGGTTTAGATTTCAATGGTTGTGCACCATTTACAGGAGCTGATACATGGGTAGAATCAGAGGCCATCATCAACTAGCAGTATAGTTTCCCTACATGATTAACTTAATGTGGGATTTGAACAAGTGGCAGTGGGTCACTGATTTTCTCATCAGTAACCTTATAATTACTTAGCAACAAATTCCTGGAAAGAATATATGGAACATACAAGTAAATATTTAATAAATTAAAATTCAAGCTCCATACTTAAGACTAAGGTACAAAAACATAAGCAAGCAATTTCTTTGCAGTGAAATTGACTATAGTGAAAATGTGAAATGTTAATATTGATATAGAAATGTATCAATTGGATAATCTTATAAAATATTCCTTAGAAAAAAAAATGCTAACAAGTGTTTTAAGTGATTTAGTATCAACATTTATATGATGAATAATAATATATTTTTGTTCTAGATCTGCTACATATAAATATGCATCCCAAACTTACAAACAACATTCAATATAAAGCTTTTCTGGGTTTTTTGGGGTTTTTTTTTTGCCACAAATGATACTAAGTAAATACTGACAACTTAATTATTGACATTTTCACAGCTATCAAATTATTGACCAATTCACTTTAAATATGAATTTTTAAATTTTGTTGTTGTTTTTCATGTTGTTTTTGTTGTTGTTTTTTTATCATCTAGAAACATGCTGCTTTAAACCTGACATTGACAATACCAATTCAAAATCAAAGGTGCAGGAAAGTTCAATTACATGTAAGCCTTCAGGGTAGAGTTTTCTTAAATTCTAAAAAATAAAACCAATACTGTTCATCAATGATATACAGCAAATCTGCGTCAAATGACACTGACTGCCCAGAAAAAGAAATCAAGGACATTATATATTATGATATATATATATATGACACAGATAATAAGCGTTTGATACATAAATACACTTATGTTACCGAATATATATATATGTATGAAAACAAAATAATGTTACGTATGAAACAAAACAAAAAATGATCTTTTTACAACATCTTTACATACAGCACTATTTAATTCCTTTTAAATAATTGTCAACAATAGTGCTATAGATAAAATAAAATGTACATATATCAATATATCTTTAGGTCGAAATAATGAACTTTAAAGAAAATCCGCAAAAAACAAGGTATTTTGATGCAAAAAAGCCAACAAATAACTAAAAAACCTTCACTAGCATGTACTACGGTTGTCCGGAAAGTTTGTAGACACCTGGTTTAATACAAGTATTTCGCATCAGAATTATATGAAATTATTATAGCTGTTTTAAATAGTAAAATATATGTACTAGATGAAATAGGTTTTTACTAAACTGTTTTGAATATACCTGGCGATCAAATCAGACAATCCAGTCTTGAACAACTGAGAATTTCGCGATTAAAAAAACAACACAGAAATGTTTCAGATGAGAAGTGCAATTGCCTTGATAAACGTAAGCTATAGGTGTAACAGTCTTGCACATAATACTGTATGTTCTTTGTTTACATGTTTTTAGTTTACACGTTTATATTTAAGTTTACACATTTATATTTCAGTTTACATATTTTTAGTTTTAGTTTACCATTATTAGTTTATACAAAATTACTTTCAATTCATTGTGTAGAAAGCTACATGTATAAGCTTATAGAAACACACTTGAATATGTTTCTAAAATCAACCAGTACCAAGCAATGAGTGTTATGTTTCTTTCTCAAGGAAACAACAGCTTGCCCCAGACGGGATTTTAACCTGCACCGCCAGCAATCCTTAGATTAGTCTGACACATCATGCCTGATTCCTGGAACTAACAAATAACCAGAACTGAAGTCAGCAAGGAAACATGGTCTGCAAACAAGCTGGTCTTTGAGCCATTATCCCTGGTTTTCATTTGGTTTCAACTGCTTGAGAGCACTTCAACCAATAAGTAAAAATCACTACTTAAGTAAAAACCACACTTTAGCCTGTTTCTGGGACTAAATCATTACTAGTAACAAATAAGGAAAATTTTGTTTGTTCCAGTTTTTACACTGATTTAGAGTATTTCAATGAGGAAGTAAGTTAAAAAACAATCAAAAGATTTTGAACATATAACTTAAAGACATTAACAGCACAAATAAAGCTACAAAATCTGTATGTAATTTCCTTTATCATCTAACAGCTTACGTTATTCAGAATATTCCATTCAGAAAAATTCTTATTTCACAATGAAAAATTAAATTCTTTGATTTGGCCTATAAAAAAAACAATAATTTGACTTCCACTCTTATGATTAATTGAATTTTTTTCCGCAAGATAATGAATTTTTGGCAGTATTATTACATGTCATTCCATCAAAATTTCTTAACAATTTCATCTAAATAACGATTTTAAAACAATTTAAGACATGAGTAAGTTCAATTAAATTATTTATAACTCCTGAATCATTTTATTTACACCTACAATATCACCATACAGTGGCAGCAACAGATAAACAAAGATTATGCAGACAGACAACTCTGAAAAAACTCTTGAATTGTTTCCCTTGCATCCATATTTCATCAGTTTGTTTTGTTTTTTTCTACCTTAACACACAAGTTTTATCATCATGTTTTGCAACCGAATAATATAAAATGCATATCACATCAATTTTTCTTCATCGAAAAAAAAAAAGAAAATCCAGGAAAAAAATCATCTAGGCGTTTTCCAGACGTTACGTTTCTTCCGTCTGCTTTAATTCTTTAATTTGCTTTATTAAGTAGGCTTTTTCATCGTTAAACTGTTCATCATCGGACCGGTCCGTATGAAACTTGGTGAGGAAGTCCACCAGTTTATCCTTGTTCCGTAGTAAAATGTCGAGAATTGGCTTTGGTTTGTTAGGGTTTGCGACGAATACCTATAAATAGAAAAAATAGACACTTGAAAGCTATATTTTGCTCAAATTAGATATTTGAAAAAAAAAGATAATAACTGTACAGCCTCTTCTGAAATGTAAAAGAAACATCTTTTGAATACGTACAGAGAAAATATGTAATGTTTTAAACTCTACACACTACAGGTAATCACAGTGTGATTACATGGTGGCATTAAAATAATCAACTGACAGTTTTTATAAGAATAGACCAAATTAACATAAGTAATTGGGGATGCAGTTTCTAAAACATAGTTTATACATTCACCTATTCAAATAATTCCATATTCATGAAGAATTTACTAGATTTCAATAGATTCTGGCAATAACAGTATTTTACCCAAAGATGAGCATAGAATATCTTAAACCCTAATTATGCTAAATATCTTGAAAGGTATAGAGCTATATATAATAAAAATATTTTATAAAATTTTTGGAACAGTTAAATTATGTTGTTTCCATAACTTTATGGTCAATTCTGGATAGAATGTCTCTGTTATTTAACACACATGAACACTGTATTATAAACAAAACAAAATGTCCCGGAACAAAATATCATGCTATATGAAATATGATTCTAACAGCTTAGCAATGATTATGTGCCATTCACTTTTTAATAAATATACAAATATATTTCTTTGAAAGTACTTATAGTTTATTTGGTCATTTAACTTGAATCAACCTCAAATTTTGAAAGGTAAAATATGATAAACAAGATCAACAAGGAAAGGCGAAGTTCAATGAATGCAACCCCCACACAACCCATCATGACCGTTATATTTCAATTTAAGAAGACTTGCACAAATGTGGGCCCATTTATGGCACCACTATAGGAAGATTATCATTGATCTATATGAATACTTATGAGAACAGCTTCCGGAACAATACCAAAGAAATTGAGTTTGTTTGGTTGGGTTTTACATAGCACCAACATAGCATAGATCATATGGCAACATTCTAACTTTACTGGTGGAGGAAGACCTCCGGTGCCAATCAGTGCGTTATTTCAGACACCCAAGTAGAGCCATTAATGTCAGTCTGCACGAAAAACTTTTTATGGTCATTGACATTCGGGCTTTGTCCATCAAAATATCGTATAGCCCAAACCAATTCTAATTAGCCCGAAAATTCTAACAAAAATTCTGGCCAACGTAATTAAATCTGGAGAAAATAAAGCAAAGTGATATCAATTGATTAACATTTATTTCTGATATTCTGAGACAGGGAATACAGTAGACTGAAACTCAAGGGTCAAATTACTTCATTTCGTTTATAATGGGTAGTAGCTTATGACGAAAAAATCACTACATATACCTCTCGGACATTTTCAATTCAACAGGTGTAAACGATTCCATATATTAATAAATTCAGAAAATTTGTGCCAATACTTGAAAAAAATTAACATTTCCCTAAGTAATTGCATATGTATTTTTTTGGATCTAGAAACATTGCTAGACTGTTTGACTACGCTCACTACATTGGTGCTAGCCCAAACAGAATTTTACTAGACTGGGGCTTGGGCTTTGCCTATTTTTCGCAGACTGCAACGTTCCGTAAGCTTGCATTGAACACCTGAGCACCAGGGTAGAAACCATCAACCTTCAATGACCTTGCTGGCTGAGCAAGAAATTTTAGACGTTAATACTAGATCAAATGAACACAGGTCCCAGATGAAAGTGAGGCAAAAATTTATCATCTTATGTAACTTAATATGCTGAATGTCAAATTTTCCTACAACACTGGTCCTGGATAAAAGTGAGGCAAAACAATTTCATGACATATTCGCATGTCTTATTTGCTACAATTAAATTGTGTATGAATATTTCAATATCTTACTTTAAAGACATGGAAGGCTTCGAACTGAATATTCCTGCTCTTCTCTCGTAACATATTCATCATCATCTTCAAGTTGTCCGGATTACTGATATATCGTGTCATTATAGTAAAGTTGTGACGATCTAACAACAGCTCACCCAGCAACTATAACAATAATATACAAAAACATTCAATTAGCTAATCAACATGAATATTACTTTGGAACTGTTAACACAAATGGCAATTGGTTTGATTGGGTTTTTTTATGCCGATTTAACACATTTCTGGTCATACCTCCATGGTCACTCCACCTATCAGGCTTTTTAGGTAATTACCAATTTCTCTACAAGTGACTGACTTCTAATCCCAAATGCTTTGTGAATCATCGTAGCAAGTGGTATGTTGCACTGTTTAATTATCCCCTCATGTACAGATTCAATCAAACCAAGTCTGTAATTTTCATGTAATTTGGTTGTGATAAATGCTTCTGAAGGGATCATATTTTATCCTGATTTTTTACTCTTTTTAAAGAAATTAATCACACAATGATTTTTATATTAAGTGCCACTATGACACTGGCCCCTCAAAAGCAGTAGGGGTCATCTACTGTCAATGGACAATGTCCTTACCAAGTCACATAAACCTAGGTTTACTCCTTCTCAAGTTACTAAATGGACAAATAACAGGATATACAGAAAGACCACCCCGTAACAGTATACTCTGCCACTTTTTAAGTAGGGCACAAATATTTATCTTTATCAGTAATATCCCTTTAAATGTTAAGCATGAGTGCAGGGATTAATATTGAGGGATTAATATTGACTTTAATATCAACGTTTTTTTTTAAAGGGAGAAAATCACAAACTACAAAAGAAATAATCTGAATTTTAATTATCTCCCTTTAATCTATAAAACAAGTAAATTAGAATATGTAAAAATCTAAGCTTCTAAAACAGAAATTTCTAATATCACTTGGTGTTGGTGTTAAGTGCTTGTGTTCTTTGAGGAACCAGAAGATTTTGTTCTTCAGCAAAAATAAAAACATCAGAAAACATGAAAACCCTGAATTTAGCAATATTTTTATTCATTTTGTATAGGAAACTAAAAACTGAAAACTTGCACCCATGTATTTCGGCATCAAAACAAATCCCATCAAATATCCCAACAGGGCAGGGTACAAATGGAAAGTAAAAACTTGGCTTATTTCTCTAGCAACCTCTGCCATTTCTCCTTCTTTCCCCTGTCTTTTTTCTAGAGTTGATCGAACCCGGGCTACAAGTTCCTACAACTGACTGGGGTGTTAGTTACCTCTTGACCTGCCGGAACCAAAAGTGATCAGTCTTTGCCACCAGTATAGAGCCAGGCCAGCCTGTACATCCGTGCACTCTGACCTAGACGCTATACTGGTGGCAGCTCAATTTTTGCATTTCCATATTGAAATCACTTTAACTTTAAATAGACTGCTTCAAATTCAAAGCTGGACAGATCCGTTATAGAAATATAGGAGGAAAATATAGCCGGTTTACTGTTAAATTCCGAATTTTAAGAATATCATACAAACTAAGGGTACCTTTAAAGCTTGCCTCCTCGTCACATAATTGTCAGAGACCAATAAACTCTGGTAAGGTATGAACACTTTGTCATAGTTTGCTTCTAGGAAATTAGCAGCTAGGATCTTGTGTTTTGTTAACAACTCCTGTAAAAAATAATTCCTTTTAAAGGGACTCCACCAGTCAATGAATTTAAGATTTTGAATTTGCTGGCCCGAATTTCAGTTTTGAATTTATTCTACTATATATTTAACTAAATTTTCTTAAAATTTACACTGGTCCAAACTAATTTACACTGCCATGGCCATAGGGGAAGTGCTAAATTTGATGACTGCTCCACTGAGGTTTTTTGACATAAACCAATTGAAATATTTTTTCGAGACTTGTGTACCATTTGATGTAAGTCTGGTCTGATAACTTGTGTGCCAAATTTCACATTATTTCCTTTACAAATTCTGACTTAATCTGTTTTTACAGAAAAATCGACACTTTTTTTAACGCCAAGTTACAGTTGAAACACTTAACTGATCATATCTGGAGAACTATTACAGCCAAATGAAAGAGTTTGGTCTTTGAGCCTATTCAAGTTCAGCAAAGATTTTCAGACCAGCCCATGTCTCATCAATTTTCGTGTGCAATTTTATTTTCTGAGAGAGATGTCCACATAAATTCAAATTTTTTGACAGTGATGTCTAAAATTCCTAGCCGAAATTGCACAATGACCTAGATCTTGCCATAATGACCTTGATATACCCTAAATTTTGTTACTATATACAGTTAAGACAGGTATATTATTGCTGATATGGAGGCGCGCTGTTTTACAAATGCTTTACCATACCTTGAACGTAGAGAATGCATCAGAAGCCACATCAAATGTCGACACCTCAACATATGTAAAGAACATGAAAAACTGGTCGGAGTACAACATCGTCTTTGCCAACTGTTCATATCTACAACACTCCCGCAACATCATACCACAATTCAATGCTATTTCTTGACTCTCGTACCTAAATAAAAGCAAAGTGATCGATGAAATCATGTACAAACGAAAAAATACCTAATTGATTTTCTCTAAACATAATTGCCCTTTCCATGCTAAATATCTAAAGCTAAATATCTAAAATTGACTTATAATCTGTGCAGAACTATGGCAATAAGATCAACAAAGCAAGGCGGCGTTCAATAAACGCCACCCCCACACAACTCATTATAATCCTTGCAAAACCAGTCTGCACTGGTTGCATGTGTTGCCGCTAGGGGGCTAAAGGCTTTAAACTTTTTCTAACTGTATGCATAAACCACTCCCATATTTTTCCCATAGCTGTCAAATTTAAACTGAAAATTTGTGAAAATCATGAAATAAGACAATGAAGTAGTAATTGTGACAGCCAAGAAAACATTCTCTCAATTCTGAAAAGCCACTGCATTATATATTAAGCAGCAAGGAGTACAGCCTGGACAGATTTGGCTCGAAGCCTGTTTTATTCAATACTAATGGCAGAAGCCTTTCAATTTTGCAACTTGCATGAAGGTGTTGCCAATTTTTCTATGAATAATTCAGTTTAACTGCTCATGACTTACTTTCATATATATTCATTCTTTGGCAGCAGTGGCCTTATAAAATATAAACATACCTGTCAAGAGATATTTATGATAAGAAATATCACTGACTGATTCATCCAACTGCATTTAAATAGCTATATATAGCTCATTGATATGGTAACAAAAGTAATGATGTCACAATAAAGATAAAAATAACTTAAATGAGGGCAAAATGCATGATAAAACGCAACCTCCACTGTGGTGTAGTGGTTAGCTACTGGACCGTCAATCCAGAGACCCGTGGTTTGAGTCCCGTCTGCAGTGTGGCAATTTTTTCGTTTGACATATAAACATATTTAAAACATTTATGGGTCAAAGAATACACTTTACCCTTTCATTAAGTCTAATAGAATTTCCTTTCTGGGTCCGAGATGATCAACTGTAGGTGCTCTAGTGCCGATCTGGCGTCGCAACATATTGTTGAAAATCTGCGCAACATCTTTCCTACCCTGAAACATATTCAAAACGCTTATTTAACTTTATCAAGCCTAATTATCTTAAATGGACTTGTCCATCTTTCACTCTGGCCAAAAACCGTTCCATTATCTTTAAAGAAAATTTCACTATAAACAACAGTGCAGAAAATACTCAGTCAATTGGCTATGTATTTAAAGCAATTGACTATTATAATGGTGATTGTGGCCTTCTCAGTACCTTTCAAACAGCCAATCATCTGCTAGCTTTCACAATTTTGAAAGTGATGCCATTTCTAATTTTAACTGCTGGAAAGCCAATGCTGAGTAGGTTATTTTCACAATTTTGAGAACAAACATGACGTTGTCTGTATAGCTGTCTAATAAACAAAACAATCTTGCCCATAAAAAATTGAGTCTATCATTTCCAGTTTATTTGTTTCAAATTACTTCAAACATTTTTTTCATAACAAAAATCAACAATTTGTTTTATTTTCACAAACAACATTTTGATACCACGTTTAATGCCTAGCTGTAAAGGACGGTATTAATTGCGTGGCTAAAAATAGCTTTCTCAAGGAACATACAAATCACAATGAAGGCAAAACAAAAATGGTGGCAATCAGATCTACATGCAAGAAATAACTTACGTAAATCTGAACTTTAGTCAGATTGACAAAGTACTAACCTCAAAATCAATCTTTCCCAGGTTTTGAACCAGTAGATACAACATATTATTGTCATACATTTCATGGGCTAGCTGGGCCACCTGGTCTGTCTGAGGCTCCTGATTCTCTGTGCCGTACAATACTGTCTTAATGGCTGCAAGGTTCTTAGACACATCATCACTGGCCTAATGTTGGTACAGAAAATAAAACAGTTATCATGAACCCTTACCATGCTTAATATCATAAAAAAATATGCACTTGCCCATTTTTCAATCTGGACAAAACCATAGATCAATTCAAGGTAAAGTTCATAATTAGTACTGAATGAATATCAAGAAGTGCACACCATGATCAGACTGCACAAATCTCACTCAAATTCAAGACAATAGACTAACTCCAGAACTATTTTGGTTTTCCCAGCTGACTACTCTATTCTATATATAGTAGCAAACCGTGAATCTACAATGGTAATAAAGTTTGTTTGTACCAGGAATCAGCTGGGAAAAACCAACATTTGCAAAGTTCGGAACAACAACTATTGTAATTGATACTTAAAGTTGTTTTTATAACAATTACGAGGCAGTTTTTTGTAACAGCTCATCTTTTGCTTCAAATCTGAAGCTAAAATGGAATTAATAAATATATAAATATTAGGGAAAAAAACACAGTTTGGGTTAAGACTGATTTTACAATATATGCATTTGTCAAGTACATCTATTAATGGAACTTTAATTTACCTTATCCAGTTTCTTCTCACCAGTCTCACGTGTTAGAGCAGTCAAGCCTTCCTTTAAAGACTTTACAAGCTCCTGTGGGCTCTTCTGTGACTTTCCAAACAAAGGCATTCTCACAGAAAACAAGCCACCAACTCTGAAACAAATCTATATCTGAAAAGAAAAATAGATATTACATAAGTCAATGTCACATAAGTAATGGTGTAATTGTTTGCCAAGTCCTGGCTCAGAAAGCAAACCAAAGCCAGGAGCTCTTCAACACCAAGAATTTGTGTTTACATGTTGGTGTCTGCAATCATTACTTTTTTTGAGACTTAATGAAACATGGGATTTTATCGGAAGTCAGACTATTCTCTCCCTTACTAGTTCCTCCCCTGACATTTCCTCATTCAACTGTTCTCAACGTCTGCATTTGTGCAATATTTGCAGGCTCTTCTCCTCCAATTTTATTCTTATAAATACCATAAAATCCCACTTTAACGCCCCGGGGCGTGACATTTTTCAAAGGGGGTGGGGGGAGGGATTTAATAAAAAATATAAAAAAAATTTCCTCTTCAAACGATGTAGAAAAAATCCACAAACACATCATCAATTCCGTCAACCCATGATACCTTTGATCTACAAACCTGATCTCTAATTTCCTCCCAAAATTCCCCCAGATCCTGCTTGTAGTTGACACCTTTGATTTTGCTGGCAATCTGACATTTATCAATGCTACTCGCCTAATTTACAATTTGTCAACAGGCCCACTTTCAGAACCTGTGTAGTTGTCCAGGTGCAAAGCTATATCGGTAGTGTGTGTACTGTAAATATGTCTACCGTTGTGTTTTTTAACAGTTACTGTTTTAGTAGACTACACTCTGTTTTAGTGAACTTTTAAGTGTATAAGTTTTGATTCATGGATATTTTTCATAAATGGAATGATATTGGATATACCATAAATCGCAGATCTAGTAAGCGAGTTTCTTTATTTTCTTTGTTTAGATTAATTTATACACGAGGTTTTCAAAAGTGGGTGGGGGTGTTAATAAGGGTGGGGGCGTTAAATCGGGATTTTACGGTAGATCAATATTGATACTATTTGATGTTTATGAAATGGGTAAGGTTATCATTAATTCATATAAAATTAGGGGGAAAAGGTATCTTTTTAGCAGATTACTACACATTATACATTTATCATTCTGGACATTTTATGGTACATTTCGATATACATAACTTCATTGATATATAACTGTGTACCAAAACAGTTAATATTTTATGACATATCAGAACATATCTTTAACCACTCTAGTTTACACTACAAGCTATTTAAACAAATGATTGTAGTTGACTGTTTTATCAACAGACCATAAGGTGTTAACCGTTTGTAAACAAGTCACCAATGAAGGTGTTGATAATTTGATTGGATTAAAATACCTGAAAAATATGTTAAATGTACTTAAAAAGTACAGCATCTTTTCTTTACAGATAAACATGTCATTCAATCTAAAACATTTTAAAGTAGCATTTTCAGGAATATTCTTAAAGCAAGTTGGCTTAATATCAAATTCATTGAGAAATCGAAGATGATAACATAGATCTGCACAATTTCCTACATTTCTCATAGAAAATAATGATATACATACATGTTCAATAAAACACCTCTATAAAATACAGTATGAAAATAAACTGTTGGATATGTCAGATTTTGGGGAGAACTGACAAGTGCCAAAATGATTTGGGAGTGAACCCTCAGGGGTGGAACTGGTAAGGGGCAGAATAGTCTGTCTGCCATTCTATTTTATTTCCCATATGTAAGTTTGTGTCAACCCACTCTCTGATCACTGACATATAAATATTCCATGAGTTAAGCTTCTCATGTCAAAATAAAATGAATAAATTTGCGACTTGTTCACATGTGACCAAACTGTTTCAAATTCAGTGAAAGCATAACAATTAAAAATTCTTCAGGAATTCTTTCGTGGTAGAAGAAAATTTCTCAAATTTTCCATGCATCGCGTCGATGAATTATTAACAGGTTTTTTTTTAAAAGTGGGCTGGGTCACAAATAATTTTATCATTGGGGAAAACAAACTGACCACAGTTGAAAAAAAGTTGAGCCAAACCAAATATTTAGCAGGATATACGAAAATTCCACGTACAAATTGATGGACAAGACACTTGGGTCTTTAAATTGTGTCCTATTCGACAAATCCTCCCATGAATCGTAAATAATAGAGCAAAAACGAATCTTAACAGTTGACCGATTTTCTTCTTTTTTTTTCACCGGAAGTGACGATTGGTACAGTTGAAAGTTAATCGAATACACTACAAACATTATTGTTGTCGCACCAGAATGTGGGATATTTAATTATAGCTCTGAGGTGGGACATATTAATTTGTTAGAAATTAGAACAAATACCGAATTCCATATCCATTCTTTTGCATTCGTTTTATGTATAACAAATTAAAGTCTTTGAAAAACTTATGTTAAACGTATGTCGTTTCGAGATAATTCACCGACGTATATGTGAAACCTAGTTAGCTCCCTTTACTTATGAATGACAACCAATGACTAAAATTAATTGGACTTATTATATTTTAAAATTAATTAGCACGCTAAATTATTGTAATATAGAAGTGGCATTCTTTGAATTTGGACTCATTTTGTTCTCTTAATGACGATCACTATAAATCAAAATGCAAAATGAAGCAGTTAAAAGATATTCTAGTGTCTAATGATAGACCTATATATACTTAATTAAATACATCAAGTTCTGCTGTCGAATAGCAGTCTAGCGGTTAAGGCGTTTCCCCCTCACCCCAGGGATCGTAGGTCCGAGTCCTGTTGCGGTCGCGAACATGTGTTATTATATGATATCAGTGTGTACTGATCGATGGATTAGCTAAAATAATTCAGCTCAAGAATGATTTCAAATTAATTTATTGAGGTTAGTTAAACAGAGCTATATGTTTTATAATAAGAACGATAGAACTAAAATAAATTAAGTTGTATAGTGTTATATCGATAAATCACGCTCCAACTCTATCAAAATGTATCATGGTATAGTAACGATGATCACGATTTATTATAAATATTACAAATCCTAATGTTCGGCCCTTTCCGTCACTCCTCGGATAAGCCGAACACAATATCTTTTTGAATCACTACGCTATATAGCTAATAAAACTAAACGTTTAAAGAAATAGTATTTTAAATGTTTCACTATATATTTTTTTTAAAGAAATCCACCTAAATTAAGTAAATGCATGTATAGAGTACGTTATTTATAAATTTATTATTATTAATTTTTCTACTGTAGAAACCGAAAGCACATATTGTGTACCCGTTGTCAATAATTCGGATTCTGTTAAAATTTTACGTCTCAATTAGGATTTTTAAATCTATTCTGATTCTTATATCATAATTTCACCATCCGATACCCTGTAAGAATGGCCACTTCATTTTGTATTTTATATCATTCCAAAACATTTTTACAATAGACCTGGGTATAATATCGGATAAATACATCATGTGCACGCGAGAATGCGTGCGTGCGTGCGTTCGCCTGTGTTTATTTAAACTGGGCACCCGAATCAACTATATGGGCCACTTCTCACTTCCCCTCGGAGCGTGCTCGTCGCTGAGAAGGCACAGGGTATCGGCAGAAGATCTGAAGATTTTGGATGGCGCAAAAGAAAAGATCAGAATTTGTACCGCGGACCAGCTGCCGATGTCCTGACTAATGCCGAGGAGAGTGGCCTTACATTTTAGGATAAGATGACAAGGATGGTGTGTTAGGGTGCGCGAGCCCCTAGCATGGATATACGGCTTGACTGTCAGGCATTTTGCTGGCACCAACAGCTCTTATAATGGATACCCTTTCATATTGTCACAGGTTACTGTACATTTAGATTTTCATTGACCGCCATACAGTGACCTACTTTTGACTTAAAATTCATATCTTTGGCTAATGCTCCGCGGAAATTGCATGGAGGTAAATTATAATTACTTTGTGCTTCAAAATTAACTCTTTAAGTGCATGACTGGTGACATGTCAGGGGTCCGTTCTCGACAGCGAAAGCTGCATTTTGTGCTCTCACGGGCGGACGGACCCTCATTAAGCATAAACTTCACACGGGCCAGAACACCTACGTACTTGCTGGTCCGACCGTCAGATGCGTCTTTTCAAGGAGAATCTTTCCTCTAGCCTGTTCTTCATGCGATGGTGGCCAGGAGACAACAATACTTCCCGGGCATCATTTTTCTAACAAAACGGCTCTTGTTAGCACCACCCTCCGGAGTAAGTCACAACAGGTCAACCAGTCATCCCTGGTACGTATACACACGTTCTTTGGATGATTTGACCTTGACCTGCGGTGTACCTTCCCTGCGACGAACACGCTTCGGGAAGGATTGGAGAAGAATTTATCTTGTACCAAAATGGATCGACTTGCATGCATATTGATAGATATATATTGAGGACATGAATGGTGACATATCTGGGGTCCGCACACTCGGTGCCTGAAAGGACGGATTGCTAGAATGCATAATGCTCCGGTTGATTTATGTAAGATTTTCAAATTTAACCTTTTTAAGTTCTTGGACCACAGAGGAGCTAAAATTTGGTCAGTATTTGATTTTTGAAAAAGGTATCCTTATATTGTCCCCTTATATTTAAGTAAAAAAGCAAATAAAAAACAAAAACATTTTAACGAAAAAAAAAATTTAAAAAAAAAAGGAAAACATGCATTATTATTTTCAAATTTTCTATGTTTTTGCGCTATCCATTTGCCTAATTTAATACTTCTGACCTCGTTACTAATAGGCAATCCTATTTTAATTTCAGACGATAGTCTATCTTTTTAAAGGTGAAATCCCTTTGCACACTAAGCTTCAGTAAATCTGATTGATTAAGATTAATTTAGTGTCTTATTACCTTGAAAAGGAAATATAATTTGTATGACAATGCACGAAGATTTGATCTGCGACACCGAGGTGGTTTATCCGCGACCTTGAGGCCCCGCTTGTTTCTTTTATCAAAGGGATGCCTTTTTTAATTATACCTCAAAACATGACAAGACAAAATTTTTAGAAAACTCTGTTGTAAATCCGTAAATAAAATAAAAACATATCAAAATAAAAAAATATATTACGTGGTAATAAATCACAAATATTTTTCGTTTAAATCATTGGCTATCCTAATGCAGACGAAGAGTCCGCGGCAAATTAAGTCACGTGAATTGATTACGGTCGAGCCGAGAGACACTGCGTCTCACGCCTGCTCGTTTGGGGGAGGAGCCTACATTTTACTTTCTCTATAAACCTAAAGACATATATCTTCGAAAAGTTTATAAACGTAAATTTCTTACTTTACTTTGGATATAACTATTATTTGTGAAACCGTACGCACGATTGTAAACTATTAAACGCGAAGTCTTAAAATTTAACAGTTTACAATTCTTTCAATAATATGTGCGTTGATAGGAAAGAGAAATTTATATTATAATATAACACCACGTTTTTCTCTGAAGCTATTTTAGAGCAGTAAGAAGGTGTATATTTGTAAAATAAAAAAGAAGAAATTAAGTTTATTTTTTGGTAAAAAAGTGTTATTTTCTCTTGATAATTAAAGAATAGAACCACTAGACTTATATTAGTTCTCTACGTTTTACGTTCATTGATAAAAACGATAGTCAATGCTGTATGATTGATGAAATGAAAGGCATCGCTTCACGTGCATTTAGCAGACGACTTTTGTTGATGAAGCAGACGACAGAGTGGTCTGTTTGATTAAAAAGTTTGTCTATAACTTGTAATTGAGTAATTAGTGCTAGACTTAATCGAGTAAAGTCTATATCACATATATATCGTGTGAAAAATACGAGGGATTATTTATTTTCTCTCAAAATAAACGATATATTTGTACTTTTGCAAAATAGCATTGGTTTAACTGGGTGCGTTTTATTCTAATGTAGAGAAGAAACTGTGGAAGAATTATTTTCATCTGTATGATCAAAGACACAAAAATACTTGACTTTTATTAATTTATTGATATGAAATTTCTTATATTTTAAAATTAATTAAATCTTCGTATTCAAGAGGGATTTCAGTAGGACTAAAAAAATATATTTCACGGATCAAATTGACTTTTTCTTCTGGTTAAAGTGTTCACAGATGGATTTTACAGAAGCTCTGCACGTGCGTAAGGAAAGCTGACATAGTTATGACAAGACATTAAGTTTTACGTGCCTTCTTTGAGACAATGAACAGAATTGTGATATCAGCTTATACATTACTAACAATTATGTGTGTTTTAGTCGGTAAGTAAAGAAAATTACACTTTTCATATACAATATAGTTATTATAATGTTTTAAAGAAATCTGAACACGCATTATCAAGTATAATATTAATCTGTACGTCTGCAAATGCAGTAAGAAGTATACGAGGAGCAGACGATATTTTACTATTTAACTGCCTGGTTGAAAAGAAAGCAAGTGATAAACTTGTTTTCTATATAATATACGAGATAGTTGTTGTTTTTTGTTTTCAATTATTATGAGCTTAAATTATTTAGTGTCTCGAAATTGAATGAAAGTGTGTTTCTTTCTTGTGAAAAGTTTTATTTCTGTGTGTCAACGTATCTATGATTATTGAGTGGAAGGGGTGGGGGAGAGAGAAAGGTGAGAGGGTGGTATTCTGAAGGTAAATATTTATAAATGTATAAAATATTGCAAGTATGTAAGGCCTTTATCGCAGTAATTGGAATAAAATAAGTAACACAGAGGGAATGTGGGTATTCATATCGTATTCACTGTTAGCTTCAGGTACAGTTACACTGCTATAAAAGGTAAAACAAGATGATATACAAGGATGAGTTAAATTGGTGAGGGAGGAGTGGATAGGGGGTTATATTAGATAGATAACGATGGTACAGGTTTGGAGGTAGAAATATCATGGGGTTACAGTCAAATATAGTCAAAATGGTCCGTCTGTACATTCTTATATGCTAAATATGATGAATGAACACGCAAATGTTTTTCCAATCAAAATAGCAAGTGCTATTTGATAAATACAGTGAGACCTAGCTATAATGACCATCTCTTACTAATATATGATTACTTTGGGAACAATAGGTAACATTAAGTCTTCTTTGATAGTATTCCTTACGTTCTTCGGGCGAAAGACATCATAAGTCTTAACAGTGTCGTTACGACTTAAAACCAAGCGAAATATGTACTGGTGGTTAGACAATTATCGTACGTGGCAAAAAGAATATTGGGGTGAAACAATAGTGTGTCCACTTAAATACCCATTATTTAGCGGAAAGATGAATTTCGATAACAGATAATTGTCTCTTATAACAAAATATCGTTACAATATTAACAAAACTACGCCACACTTAGTGATAGGCCTTTTTAATTAACTCTTAATTATTAGGTGGCCTTTAATGCAGGTTTGACTGTGTAGTCATATTTTTCTTTAAAGACAGAAAAAGTGCAACTTTAAGGTTATGATATACGATTCATTGTCAGCATCGGTCTTTTAAAACGGGTTTCACTGTTTGCCTTCAAATTTCAAAAAGGGGCATAATTAAATCGTTAAATTGTACACAAAAAAACATAATTGAATATCACTACTGCGTAATAATAAGGTTTTAATTCGACAAAAAATCACGGCTGAAAAAAAGGTAGAAATAGGTAATTACATATCTTTCATCTTAAACTAAAAACCTATTACATTTTGGTCGGGCCTTTATCTCATCATGTCTTTTTGTCGTACACTGCCAAACAGTTGTAATTACTAATTTACTTCACGGCGCCATGGAATGGACATTTAATACAAGTTGGTGTCGAAAATGACTCTTTGCGTTAATTAAGTTCAAACAGAAAGTCACCTTTTCTCAATGTACCTGAGTGAAAAAAGCATCCGAATAATTAGATCTCCCCGTTAAACGGATTTAAATGCAAATGTTTAAGCCGAATTGTGCTAACTAAATTGACCCCGGTTTTGCCCCTGTATTTAAAATGTTGTTAATTATTAAGAAAATCGCGACTGTGCGTATGTCTACCAATGAGAAAGGCTCCAATATGCCCTGATTATTTCAGAGACGTATAATTCGAAATGAAAATTAAAAAAAAAATCAAAGACGTAAGAAACATTGATTTAAAGCTTTGAAAATGTTTTGGCAGTGAAATGGAAAATTGAACACTTTGAATGAAAAAGAAGATATAGGATAAAGGAAAGAACTTTAGAGCGTCTGTTAACTAGGAATCTGGTTCCGTTTATCTTTCGCGTTGCGTTACAAATCTATTAAAACAGCGAGGGACTATTTAAACAGATCTAGATCAGATATTGTGATAAATTTCATAAATATATGAGTTGAGATGATATTACGTAAACCGATGCATCCAAATTCATGCAAAAAACAACAACAACAAAACAAATAAATAAACACATACAACAACAACATAAAACAAAACAAACAAAAACAAACATTTAAAAAAAAACAACCCCCTCCCCATACAAGTTCGAGTCCGGCTAAAATCTTTGCAAAAATTATTTTTAAGAGATCCATAACTAAACAGTTCACCGACATTTTTAAAAAGTACATCATCAATACAAAATCTTGAAATCTCATGCTTATTGGTCAGTTCTGTTCTGTGAATGATGATAAAAGTTTTTACCGATGAAATCAATCAGACTAAAGTTCAGTCATTTTATGTTAAAATTGCAGTATACAACATGTATTTAGGAGTTAATTATAATAAGATTCAGTAAATTAATTATGAAATTATTGTCTTAAAGATTTTGCAAGATTTCTGCAGAATGTGCAAAAACACGGGATCTTTTGACTCTAATTATCCAAGTTATTAATGAGACACTAAGACGTACATGCCCGTGATAGGTTTGACTATGTCATAGATGAGTAGTTCACACTGACCTAATTTCCATTTCATTCATTTGGCACGGGTCTATATGGCACGGGGATATATGGCACGCCGCTGCGTATAAGTCCGCTTGCACTTAGACCTAGATATTTTTTTATTATACAAAGCATCTGCATCATAATAACAAAAGTAACCCGAATTGTTGTTTTCGTTTTTCCGACGATAAAATTTTCGTTGATCAAGACTTCCTAAGCCTTTTTATTTCGATTTAAGTCAAATGCATCCCATGTGGAGGTTGTTACAAATTCCCTGACGCTTTCTTTGCAATATTTTGGAATTGTATTTTACTGTTTTACTTTCATTGAAGCTTTGGCACGGCGTTCGCTCTCAGAAGAGTTATTTCGCGGTGAAAACATTAATTGTGTAAACAAATTTGAAAATGCAAACAAGTTTTTGGCGATTTTCATCGCGCTATCACGTTTATTCGTAATTTAATTGCAAATCATTATAAAAGTTACATAAACACTGGGAAAATACCGATTTGAATGAATGAATGAATTTCTCAATTTTATATATTCCATCTATTTTCTGAATGCCCTCAGTAACATTGGTTTAGCATACAGGTTTATAAAAAAGTTTGACTGTTATGCCATGGCGTCTCTCGCAACCTTGGGGATGGGACGGGAATGGGGTGGGGCGAGTCTAGGTGTAGGATACGCGTTCCAACATCGAGGTGTGTCGGGTTCGAATCCGTTGTTATTTTCTAGCAATGATTTCTCCCCACATTGCATCATTTCACACAGATGTAAATACGTATCTGGGTGGACGGTTTTATTCCGTTGCGGAATAAAGTGTGCAGTCAAAGACCGAGTGAAAAGGCTACTCAGGCAGAGGAGTAAGGCAAATGGATACCTGTTAACCGAAGGCTAGGGATAAAGCTTTGAAGTCGATGATTATTCAACTTACATGATAAATGTCATTACATTTTAATAACACAAATGTTCTGTAATTATTAATGTGCACACTGTTTAATATTAAAGGCTTGCTCCACTGAAATATCATACCGTGGTTTCAGACATTGTCAATAATGTATCTCTAACATTGACAAAAATGTCACTCTGATACTGGCGAGAGTGCCCCTCTGATAATGACAAGAATATCCTTCTGATATTGACAAGAATGTCTGTCTGATATTGGCGAGAATGCTCGTCAGATATCTATAGGAGAATGTCTGTCTGATAATGACGAGGATGTCCCTCTGATATTGACAAGAATGTCTCTCTGATATTGACGAGAACGTCCCTCTGATATTGACAAAAATGTCCCTCTGATATAGACGAGAATGTCCGTCTTATATTGACGAGAATGTCCCTCTGATATTGACGAGAATGTCCGTCTGATATTGACAAAAATGTCCTTCTGATATTGAAGAGAATGTCCTTCTGATATTGACGAGAATATCACTCTGATATTGACAAAAATGTCCACCCGGTCATATAATACTATCACAGAACAAGTTTGATGTAAACAAAACTCTTATTGCTGGGTACAGACCATGGGAGCTACAAATAGAATGGGTATACTGGTCTTTGATGACCAGGCCGGGAATCGAACCCGCTATCGTCTGTCATACGGTGTTTGATCGTACATTGACACACTGCGCACTATACCATGAATGATGATAATACAAAATGCGTTCTCCATATCCAGTATAACATGACCTTCCCACGACTCTAGGTCTATGTCGGTTTAAACAAATGCACTTGCTCGGTTGAGTAAGTTTACTCAAACAGTTGAAAACAATAATTAGAAAACATTTAAATCATTTGATCAGGAGGTTTTATTCTGAAAATAAACCCGATCGTTGTAATCATTATTGCTTTTGAAGAGAAATAGTAAAACATTCAGTGGTTATTGGACGATGAGAACAGTTACAAGATCAGATGTTGTCATCTGTTGTCAAATTACACCAATTTGGATTGCGTAAACAATAAAATTTGAGTTTTTTTAATGATTAACCTTTTATCTCGAATTGTTGTTTAACTCGAATAGTTAAAACATAACCACTTAGTAAAGAATAATATTTTCTCAATCTAAATGCTTACTTAATAAAATGAGCCTGTGAAAATCTTAGCGATACATTATTTTTACAATTATTGACAAGTAGAATTATTTAGCTTTTAGTGTCGAAAAATGCTTATCTCGAATTCATATGAAAGTCGAAAAGTTCCAAACATGGGGTTTATATGAGAAGCTTTTAATTCATAAAGTCTACAAGCTCATTGCACAGAATGTTTAGCACGTGGGTAGCACGTGACTAATGTACAATTATTATCATAACATTTATTTAACAGTGTTGACTATTGACTTTAAGACACTTTGTTTGATATTATGTAATATTTATTACATGATGAACTGCCCGTCGCCTGAT